ACCAAAGGACCATCTAGCCCAGTATCCTGTCTTCTGACAGTGGCCAATGCAGGTGCCCCAGAGGGAATGAACAGAACAGATAATCATCAAGTGATCCATCCCCTTTCACCCATTCCCGGTTTCTGGCAAACAGAGGCTGCCCATCCCGGCTAGTAGCCATTGATGGACCTATCCTCCACAAATTTATCTAGTTCTTTTTTGAACCCTGTTATAGTCTTGGCCTTCACAACATCTTCTGGCAAGGAGTTCCACAGGTTGACTGTGCGTTGTGTGAAAAAATACTACAGAAAGGGCTGAGCGTCCACATTTTGAAAATCAGGTTGTTTTAATGTATCTCAAGTTGAACAGCCACAAATTAGGATAGGTCAGTCACTTTTGAAAACCTTGCCCCAAACACATAAATAGAAATTTTATATTCCCTAAAATTATAAAGAGTTAACTTCAAATGAAACTTGAAAATGAGGAAGAAGTAAAATTGTATTTTTAATTAGTTTTTCCATATAAATGCTTCCTGTATTTTTGCATCTACAGACCTTTATAGTATATAAAGCGTTATGAGATAGTTCTGGCTTATTCTAGAAAACCTGCAGATTTTATTACATTGTTTCCACATATGAGGAGCATTTTGGTAAATAATTGCTAAGTCCAGGTGCAGTTAATAATGCCTCGTGAATTCTTGCATTATTGTGTCAATTTCTTATGCAGTAGGATTTTCAGGAACAGTTTATAATTTTATTGTATGTCCTCATTGTATTACTGTTGTAGCAAAGTTAGTTCATTGCCTCTGGTCCCTCATGTTGAAGTATTGCAACAACAATTTCAGACTTGCCATCAGTGTTTGTTTTCTTTATCTGCCTGAGGATATCTCTTGATAACTCAGGCTTGGTCTACACTTACCCCCCAAGTCGAAGTAAGGTACGCAAATTCAGCTACGTGAATAACGTAGCTGAATTCAACATACCTTACTTCGAACTTACCGCGGTTCAGACGCGGTCCACACGCGGCAGGCAGGCTCCCCGTCGACTGCGCGGTACTCCTCTCGTATAGCTGGAGTACCGCAGTCGACGGCGAGCACTTCCTGGTTCGATTTATCGCGTCCAGACCAGACGCGATAAATCGAACCAGGAAGTTCGATTTCCAGCTGCCGAACTAGCGGCTAAGTATAGACCAGCCCTCAGTTTGCTTTATAATCATCTCTCTTATTTCTTGCTGCAGTAATAGTCACAATCTGTGACCAACATGAACTTGTACCTTGCTGTTCAATATTTCATAATATTGGAATTTTCCTTATTTCTCTCATTCTTTTGCAGTCTTACAGTTAGCTAATTCCAGTGTTATTTCTTTCTACATATCTTCATTTTTAGTCCCAGATTTATTTATTTTAAATATTTTCTTGCTTTCAACTTGTCTGATTTTCTTTCAATGCACTATATTGATACCTTAAATCTTCTTTGCCATATCTCATTTCAGTTTTTATTTGTTACTATCTTTACCTAAAACAGCATTCAAATTTATTCTTCTGGGAAACCTGTAAATATACCCCAATAAAATAAGTGTGTAACATTACAAGAGAACCCTGACATCTGCAATATCTAGGGATTTTTCTAGTCTACTAGTGTATTATGTGTTTGTACGGAACTGCATTATCTAATGTATAACCAGATCCTACTTCCACTTAAGTCAAGGGCAAGACTTTTATGATTGATTTTAGTGGGATCAGAATCATGCCTTTGAAACTAAAGCCCCTGGGATGTTGATCATGTCTTTCTGTTTATTTTGAGTAGCACAGAGGACACTAACAGCAATTAATGAAATTATTTATTGCACTGATTCTTCTGCCATAAGCACATTTGTACTGTAACCCTGATCTCTTGCAATGTAACAGACAAGGAGGGTTTATGAGGAACTATTTTGTTTGACTAATTACACTCCCCTTTTTCCTGGACCTCTAGCTTAACTCTTTGCTGAAGCACAGGCCAGAGTTTTGTCTGTCTCAGTCATTTCGGGCGGGGGAGGGGGGGGGGAGAAATATTACATAGAATAAACCTCAGAGATATGGCTCATCAAACCCTGAATATAGGTGTTGGTAACAGCTGCAAATCATCCTCAGAGAGAGCATACCATATAATTTATTAGTGAACAAAAATGTAATACATACACAAATATTTGCAAACATTATTTGGAATACTTTTCAATAACTTCCTAAACAAAACTATTAAGCAGTAAACTTACTGGTGTTCTGAGGTGTGGCCCCTTTAGGAACAGATGTTTAGGGAGATGATCATCAGACCCATGTAGGAATGGGGCCAGGAGACCAAATCATATGACGGGCTGCTGGGAGATGTAAATGAATGCTCTCAGTTCAGTCAGGAGAGAGCCTGGAAACAGGAGAGACCTATAGTGAGAGTCTCCTGTAGTAAAGCCTAAGTTTTGGTACATTAGGAGCTATAGAGACCTGCAGGTGGCTATGGGAAAAGGAAACACACCCGATTTAGATATTAGGTGAACTGTTTTGATTTGAGAGACAATAAACCTATGCTAAAGAAAAGGACTGAAATACTGCCACTGGTGAGGACTTTATTGACATACTGGCCAGTGAGTGGGGATCACTGGCTTACAGTGTATCTTTATACAGACTTCTCCACTTTGTTGCTCTTACATATTTTTCAGTGCAAGGTTTCAACAGAATATATACCTATTTTTACCTTAGTGCACTCATACACATTCCCCTCTAATATTGTCACAGAGCTGATTTCTCAGTCTCTGTAATGTGGCCTCAAAATGAGTGTGTCACCTGGATTCTCCAGAAACTGTGGAGGATGGCAGCCTCTCAGTTCTCCTCCAAGCACTTCAGAATCTCCTCAGCAAAACCATGAGGGTTTGTCTACTCTGCAGTGAGAGGGTCAGATTCAGGTTGTGTAGAAATACCTGAGCTAGCTCTAATCTATCTAGCTCGGGTACTGGTAGCAGTGAAGACTCCACAACACAGATTTCAGCATGGGTTGTGCAAGCCTGCCCACAACCCTGGGTAATTACTTGGGGAGCTAGCCTGTGCTAAAGCCTGTGCTCCCATGGCTTCATTGCTCTGGTACTTGAGCTAGCTAGATTAAAACTAGGTCGGGTATGTCTATATGAGCTGCAGTCTCACTGTAACTGCAATATAAATATTCCCTCAGAAGATCCTTGAAGCCAGTAGCAAATCCCAGTGCTTGAACTAATAGTTGATTGTCTCCTTTGTTTCTAGCAAGACAGAGAATCTGTAGCTCGTATCCAAAGTGATACAGGTATTGGGACCCAGCCCACATAGCAGACACATCTTTGTCCAGTGTCAATCAGCCACTGAGTCCAGAGCCTCCAGTTCCTGTATTTATAACCTTTCCCTCCAGATCTCTGATTGGCTCAGAGCTCTCAAACGGTGAATGTATGGAATCTGCTAGACTGCTTGCCTTTAATGTCTACTTTCTGTTGTAACCCATATGGCTAGCTTAGTCTTTATTATATTCAGCTGTAATGCAAGGAACCTACTGGCCTATATCCTGTAAGACATTAGCTTAAGCAAGTTAGCATAAGTATAGTAGGCCTGCAACCTTTGGCATAGATAAATGGCCTAATGGTTACCCTCAGATTTTGGGAACTAGGAATAGCTTGCTAATGGCAGGAGCTGAAAACTAATGGTAAATTGCAACTGCAGGAACATGAAAGTAATAACTGCAGAGCTGCTTAAGCAAGAAGTGATGGGTATGATAATGAGTTAAATACCATTAATATGTATTAATATGTTAATCTATAGGATAAGTGTACCCCATTATTATGTGGGTGAGGAAATTAGATTTGGGCATGGAATGCTGGGCTTTAACATGAATATTCATGATGGTGTTCAGGCCCTATCATAGGGTAAACCATCATGTAGAGAGAGAGAGAGCTATTTCCATCACTTTTAGCTTTCCACCATTTGACCCTTCAGCTCTATTGTTATCATAGAATCATAGAATATCAGGGTTGGAAGGGACCTCAGGAGGTCATCTGGTCCAACCCCCTGCTCAAAGCAGGACCAATCCCCAAACAGATTTTTACCCCAGTTCCCTAAATGGCCCCCTCAAGGATTGGGCTCACAATGCTGGGTTTAGCAGGCCAATGCTCAAACCACTGAGTTATCCCTCCCACCACCATCAATCTTGGGTACTGAGGAACCTGGACCAACGGACTCATTTGGCTGAGAACTGAGATGAAAGGAATGACAGAGAATGAGGAAGGACTTAAGAGATGGGGGAAAAGGGGGGAAATGACTGAAGGAGTTGGCAAAGAGAGAAGGAAATGTGAATCCTGAGAGATGCTGAGAGCTGGAGTGTTCACAGAGAGACCGAAGAGAAAAGAAGATCTGGAAATTAAAAATAAGAATTAAAAATGAAAGAAAATCACAAAGCCTCTCCCCCTGTTGTGTGTGAAGCAGTGTCACATTCCAAATAAAATATACCAACAACAGAGCAAATACTCAAGCATAGGATCTTAAAGTTTTGTTCTATGTGAGTATTAGTATATGCAAAAATAAATTGTTCACGTGTTCTTGGAAAGTAAGCACAAAAGATGTGTAAACATGGGCAATACATATTCACTTTTGAATTTAGTTGATTTTTTTCTTCCTACCCAGGCATCTTCCTGTTCTTGCTGATGAAGTATCTCAAGATCCAAAAATCAATTACACTAACAACTTTCTTTCTTGCATCACATTTTTTCTTTTTTCCTCAAAAGACATTATTAATAAAAGGTATTGGGATGTCTGGTTATAAAAATATCTCATGTCCTAAGACGAATTGTCTGGAAGTCAGTGAAGAATTTTGAAGTGCTAACCAAACTGTTAAGTCCTATAGTGCAGTTATCTTCATTAATAGCATAGTCAGAAAAAAATATATAATTCTATAATGATCCAACTTAACAAATGAAAAGGAAATAAAAATTACAGTAAGAATAAAGCACACATTACTCTTTCATCTTCTCCACAGACTGGGATGGGACATTTACATGTTACAAAAGAAGGACTTCGACTGGAAGGAGAGTCAGAATTCTTATTCCCTTTGTATGCCAAAGAAATTCACTCTAGAGTGGTAAGTAGATATCGAAAAGCCATGCTAAAAGAGAATTAATGTATAGAAATCCATTAAGAAAATCAATAATATATATAAAATGTGTGCATGTATAGAATATTATGGTATGTGTGGATAGATATTAATATAGTATGGTGTAACGTGGCAAAAGATTTTATCAGCGTGAATTTGAAATTCGTGCTCAGATGCTATGGCAATACTAAGATACTGTGGTGACATTCACCAACATGAAATACTTAGGCATATTGCTCTTGAGTGATAAAGCCATGCATGAGTTATGCAGGTCATTCCAGCTGAATGATGTTAAAACTTTAGGAATATTTTAGAGAGTTTTAAGATTTTTTTATTGAGTCTATTTTTGTATCTCTTCCCTGTAAAGCCAGATATCTTGGTAACCATGAGTTCGACTGTTAAGGGTTTACAAGGAGTTTTAAATATCTCTAAAAATGACCAGAAATAGGTTTTGTATACCTCAATTAAAGTTCCATTCTTGGGAATGTCCCAGGGTGAAGGTAAGTTCTGGATCTGATTGAGGAGCTGGGAATCTCCCTTTCCAATGATACAAAGCTCCCATTTCTATATCTGTAAGACACAAGATAACAGAGATTAAATTTGTGAAATATTTATCCATAAAAAAGCTGTAACTCTGTAAGGACTATACTTTGCCTACCTGGGCTTCAGACAGGTATGATTTATTTATTTATTTATAGTTGGTGGGGAAGGAGGGGAAATTACATACTTGAAAAAGAGACAGGAAACATTTCTCAAACAGTTTGAATTTTTTTTTAAAAAGAGAGGCAGGTATTTGAAACTGCTCCAACATCTGGAGGTGTGTGAAGGAGTCCTATTAGCATCTTTCCATTTGTTTGAATGAAGAAGGAGTGGTTCTGAACAGGTCTTAAATTATCCAGGCATTAATTTGTTGTGGAGCAGTGTTTGTTACCTACAAACTAAATAAAATCTTCAGGGCCAGATTCTGCCACCCTAACTCATACTGAGTAACTCTAAGCCATCTTTCATTTTGAGTCACATACAGATTCCAGCAAGTTTGAGTTGCTGAGAGAGAGCCCAAACTTCTCCAAGAATGTTCATTTAAGCTTTATTTTATCTTTTTGTGCAACAAATCTTTCCAATAGCATGAACAGCGTCTTATTAGATAGTGAAACTGCATTACTAAATCTGTATTCCCTCTTTGTTTCATATGTTCTGTTTTCTGCCTTGCAGTCAAGGGAACATGATTGATGTGTTTAAACGTGAATCCTCTCAGAGATATTCTTCTTTGAGTAGTGTCCCTATGGGTGCTCCACTGTAGGTGTGCTTGTGTCCCTGCGCTGCTGATTGGAGAACTTTGGTAGCAGTGTCCGTTGGGCTGTCTCGCCTCATGCTGCGCCACAAGGCTAGTCAGTGCACACTGGCTAACCCCTCTCAGTTCTTTCTCAACCACCCGTGGCTAGAGATGGAGCCATTAGCAATCCATTAAGACTATTGTTCTCTTGGTTTACATACTTATAGTTAGTTAGCCTCCTAGTTACAGCTGTAGCTTTTTCTTTCTTCTCCTTTCTTATTTTACCCTTAAAAAAAAAGAAGAAAAAGAGACTTTATTTTCTTCCCATCTTTTTCCCCACATCAGGGACCCTTCCCCTCAACAGGGTATGCCCAGTTTGTGGGGCTTCAAAAAGTGCCACATCTGTAAAGAGATGATCCCGGTTGTGGATAAGCACTCTCAGTGCATTCACTGCCTCCGGAAAGGCCACATACAGCAGAAGTGTGGTCTTTGCCAACAACTCCGGCCAAGATCTCGCAAAGACAGAACTCCACCAGAAGATCATCTTCATCGAGGCAGCTCTCTGGCCCCAGTCACCTGGTAGACATGAGTCTTCCCCACAACCTTCTACATTTAAGGGATGTGGGTTGAAGAAACAGGCTGTGGACCCTTCTCACAAATCATCTAAGAAGAGAGTGGGAAGTCCCTTAGTGAACCTCGATATAGCTGTAAGCAATCACCATCTCACCGGATATCTTCAGCATCGCCGGGACCAAGACCATCTCAATCTGGCACCCATGCCTCATGAAGACCAACAGCTACTGGTACCACTGACAGGCTCATGGAC